AAGAAAAAAGAGGAGATTAAGGCTAGGCTCAAGACGTGAAATGCTAGTTATTTTTCTCTGAGAAAACTACTTTACTCGCGCCTCTTGTCCCGGATGCGAAACGTGGCCGCTCACATTAAGCGATGAGCAGGGTCTTAAGGTTTTTGAAAATAAAGTATTGCCTTGAATATTCGGACCGAAGAATGATGAGTTAACCGGAGAGTTCAGACAGTTACACAATGCCAAATTGCGTGAACTATATCCGGTTAATATAATTTGATTAATTACATTGAAGCTAATCAAATGGGTTTGTAAAAATGTTGGCCTTAACAAAGAAAGAATTCCTAAAAGGTTAATATTTGCTGTACAGAATGGTAAAAGTCCGAGGGGTAGACCGAAGCGAAGGTGGGGAGATTGCATTAAAGCCGATCTGAAGGGACTGGGTTTGGACGGCGAACGGTGTAGGGAGGTGTGTAACAAGCGATTGGTGGTGTCGGCATCGAACCTTCGGGTTCGCTAAGCCTTATTATTATTATTATATTGCTTCCTTTATTCTACGTTTATTCGTATTACTTTCATTATGCAGGTTTTTTGAATTACAATTTTGTTTGGGCTGTTTAAGCCTTTTTTCAAACCATTGTGATGTCTGTCCAAAATATGAAATAATACAGTTGGTTTAGTTTTTTCGTAGTGTCTATTTTCAGTATCTCCTCCACACTAGCATCTTCTCTGGATTCAGTGATAAATGCCTTCAAGTACTTATTTCTTGGCTCGTTGAACTTGATACATTGGATCAGAAAATGAGTTACCGGGTCAGTTACAAAGCAGTTGCATGCACCACACACCTTACTGGATTTAATAGTCAAAGTAGCATCTTTTAAGTATATTTTCATAAAATCTTTACTTGCTACTCTGAGACGACTAACGGCTCTTAGTTTGTTTAAATTCAGAGCCCTGAACTGAAGATAATCCTCTGGTCTGGTAACATTAAAGGAGCAGGTTTTTCTATATCTTGGGTTTGATTTAGAGTTTAACACTCTGTCGATGTCTTTGGATGCGTGATGGTTTGTTATTTTTTCCATGATTTCATCTTTGAACCTCATCAGACCTTGAGAGAAAACACAAGAAAACATCCCTGACATCCGAGTTCCGCCACAATCATGTTTACTTGGGTAACCCAGTTATAAGTTGGATCAGGTTTTCCAATGGATGAGTCTAGAGCTCTAAGCCTATTAAAGCATTGTCTAGGTAGTCTTTCGTCACTCATTAAGCTTAGCTTTGTCCAATAGTTGATCACTTATTTCAACACTTAATGGAGATCTCCCACTTTCAAGGCGAGCCACATAGTTCGGTGTATTTATTGGCCAATGGAGTAATGATTTGATGAATCGAACTTGCGTCCTCTCCAAAAACTCCAGGTATCTCGTCTGAAGGAACTGGATTTAAACGGCGAATGGTGGAGGGAGGTGAGCAATAAGCAATTGGTGGTGTCGGCATCGAACCTCAGGGTTCGCTAAACTTTTTATTATTGTTTATTGTTTTATTATTATTACTAATATTCAAACTTAGTGTAATAATCGGGTAACGCCCACCCCCGAACGAAACTCAAGACTCTCAGATGTTGACATTCACCTGTGCTCGAGGCGAAATCAGATATGTTACTCTGATTAACGAGTACCAAATATTTTACTTAAATTTAATCACTATTGGGAATTCAATCACTACTTCAGTAAATCCTTTGACATCAACTGAAGTAGTAATTAAAGTCTTTAGTACTCAAAAAAGGTCAGTATTTGACTAAAATACTTGGTACTTAGTATTCCGAGAAGCATTTGCTCGTCTCTGGACGAAATCCACTTCCCAGGAACTGTAATGTTCAGTGGACGGCACTAGATTACACCACACGTGCTTCAAGGCACTAGCGGATCCAGGATTTAATTTGGGGGGGGGAAGCTTCAGCCCGAAAGATTTTCTTTTTTCAACGATAATTAATTTGAAAAAAAAGAAAGAAATTAACTACCTATATGGAATGGTGTTAAAGTGGTTCTTGATGTCCTATTAAATGTACTTACAGGAAAAAGAATACTTTAAGATATAGTTTTTAATATTTTTTTCTGTTAAACATGATTATATTTTACAATTTTGGGGGGGGGGGGACTTCAGCCCGAAAGATTTTTTTTTTCGACGATAATTAATTTGAAAAAAAAAAGAAAGAAATTAACTACCTATATGGAAAGGTGTTTAAGTGGTTCTTGATGTCCTATAAAAGTAGTTACACTAAAAAGAATACTTTAAGATATAGTTTTTAATATTTTTTTCTGTTAAACATGATTATATTTTACAATTTTGGGGGGAGGAGGGCTTCAGCCTGAAAGATTTTTTTTTTCAACGATAATTAATTTGAAAAAAAAAGAAACAAATTAACTATCTATATGGAATGGTGTTTAAGTGGTTCTTGATGTCCTCTTAAATGTACTTACACGAAAAAGAATACTTTAAGATATAGTTCTTAATATTTTTTTCTGTTAAACATGATTATATTTTACAATTTTGGGGGGGGGGACTTCAGCCCGAAAGATTTTTTTTTCAACGATAATTAATTTGAAAAAAAAAAAAAAAATTCACTACCTATAATGAATGGTGTTAAAGTGGTTCTTGATGTTATATTAAATGTACTTACAAAAAAGAAAAAGAATACTTTAAGATATAGTTTTTAATATTTTTTTCTGTAAAACATGATTATATTTTACAATTTTGGGGGGGGGGGCTTCAGCCCGAAAGATTTTTTTTTCAACGATAATTAATTTGAAAAAAAAAAGAAAGAAATTAACTACCTATATGGAATGGTGTTAAAGTGGTTCTTGATGTCCTATTAAATGTACTTACACGAAAAAGAATACTTTAAGATATAGTTTTTAATATTTTTTTCTGTTAAACATGATTATATTTTACAATTTGGGGGGGGGGGACTTCAGCCCGAAAGATTTTTTTTTCAACGATAATTAATTTGAAAAAAAAAAAAAAGAAAGAAATTAACTACCTATATGGAATGGTGTTAAAGAGGTTCTTGATGTCCTATTAAATGTACTTACACGAAAAAGAATACTTTAGGAGATAGTTTTTAATATTTTTTTCTGTAAGACATGATTATATTTTACCATTTTGGTGGGGGGAGGGGACCTCAGCCCGAAAGCCCCTACTCCCTGTAGATCCGTTTGTGCTTCAAGGTAAAATTGTTTCAAAACACTTAAAAGAACTTGCCGAATAATTTGAACTAAAAATTAAAATTGGCACAAGCCGTTCGCTGAAAAAAATTGTGCTATACCTAGATAAGTACATAATAATAATACTAGAGACTTTCATTGTGTCCATTGCTCCATAAATAAACAAATTCAATTATTTGACATATTTATAATAATGATAAATTGATAAAACAAATTCATTAGTAAAATACTTCTTGAAAATAGGCCTATATAAAAATATTCTAGTATTCTGAAATATTTTCTTTTAAGCAACATTGTCAAAAAAAAAAAAAAAAAAAAATGGTCGATGTCCATTTTTACATCATTTTTTTTATTATCTAAAACTCTGAAACGATAAACCATCCCGAGAGCTATTTTTTACATTTAATGAAAACTTCAATTTCTTTGTCACTGTTTACATTCAAGTTAATAACCATCGTTACATTGTTATAACCTCATTTTTAAATAAATAAATGAATAGTTATATGTTTTTTCACCAGTAACAAATAAAATTGACAATATTGAGCGTATTTATTTAAAATTAATATATATACAATAAATATATAAGTAAACCAAGAAAAACTATTTTACTCCTGAAGGAGGCCAGTAGTCTTCTATATTTTCTATTGTAACTCTGAAATGTTTTTCTTTCTCATGCAAGTTTTTCGTTCGTTCTGAAATGTAGCAGATATATTTACAAAAAATTCATTTTCTGTTACCTAGCTTCAATTTGAACAATTCTAATGATTTTTAATTTCCTACCTATACTAGGTAAGGAAACTATTGCAATCGGGTGAAATTTCCAATAAGCGGTTTTCGACGGATCTATACGTTTCAGAGCCCCTTGGGTCCGAATAACACATTTTTAGCCATTGGTATGTCTGTCTATGCCAAGATTTTCTCGGGAACTACTGAATCTATTTTGTTGCCCTTTTTTTTTTTAAAGGTAATGAAATTCCCTACAGAACTATATAAAAATTGTTCATTTCGGACAACTATTAACGAAGTTACAACTATTTAATTTCCAATGTAAGATTACGGGTTCATATTCTGGTGTCAGAAAGGTGTGAATGAGAGAAAAAAGATGACTAAGTGAAATTAAGAAAATCTGTTGCATCAGACAAGCTTCACTATTTCTTCTACTTTTAACAGAAATTATTGTTTGACAATACAAAGCTGTGACAAAAAATTTGTGATCAGCAATATTAGAGAGTATTGAAATTTTTACACTGATCTACCTTAAGCCGTTTTACATTGCTTTAGTTAATCTAATAAATCGTACATAAATCTTTTCTTTCATCAATTTTCAGGAAAATAAATCTAGTTCAATTTTTTTTTGTGTGTGTCTTCATGAACATATGTAAAGATATAATAATTTTTCTGTTAAATAAATTCATCAGAAATAGTTGTATTTATTTAAACCTATAAAACAAAAATTGAATTTTTCTCCACTATCTGAAAATAGCTGGTGTTCATATTTGGTAGGAGGATACTCGCATACTTTTTTATTGAAAAGCAATTTCATTGAAAAAATACTCTAGCTTGATAATTTTTTTTTTTAATTTTAATAGAATAATTTAAATATAATTTTTATTTTAAAAAGTTAGATTAAAATCATCACTGTTTGTACCAAAGTTTATTTTACGTATTTTTAATAACTAATATTTTTTAACTAGAATTTCTATTAGGAAGTTAAGAAAGATATATATATATATATATATATATATATATATATATATATATATATATAAAATCCCATTGATAAAATACGACAGAACTCATTTCCCCCCACCACCTTTTAGGTGCAGGTGGTGGGGATGGGTGGACGTGAGTCAGTCTGCCCCCAGAGTTTGGGGGAGGTGCAGCGAACGTTCGTAATTCGATTTCGTCTCAACATCGCGGCTACTCTTACGTAAATATATGTAAGTTTCAAACTATTTTCTGATATTAGTAATTTCTTCGTTTGCTATTGGTGGTTTAATATTTTGAAGAGAAAAAAATTATAAATTTAAAATAATTATTTTTATTAGGAGATATCTTACTTTCTAATAGTGTATATATATATATATATATATATATATATATATATATATATATATATATATATATATATATATATATATATATATATATATATATTGATTAATATGCTTTGATAAAGTATATTATAAATTAAAATGTTTTTTTATTTAGTAAGTTCAGTTTTAAAAATAAACTTTGCTGAACTAACTGGCTGTGATTATCCATAATCTTCGGTAGCTATAATATAAATATTTCAAAATTTACTATAGGATTGTTTTTATCTTTACATAGTATTGTTTTTGTATATACATTTTTCACAAAAAAAAAAAATAAATAAAAAAATAACAATATTGATGTGTCTCAAAATTGCATATCACTAAGAACTTGAAATTTTAATTGATAGTTTTATTATCTAAGTGGTTAATCAGAATATCTCATAATTACAAAGATAAAATAATTTCCTTTAATTAGTTTATTACTAAAAGTTATTAATATTTTAGAAATTAAATAACAATTTACTTTGATGAATAATCTTTCTGGATAAGTCAAAACAATGTACATTTATTGTACCTATTTTTGAGATAAAGGAGGACTTGTGTTATTTCGGTACACTTAATGAATTTTTTCATAGATAAATGTTATCGGGATTCAAATATGTGCTTATAAGATTAGCTCTATGAAAAATAGTGGAGTTTATAGCCAGTGAGCCACCCATTTCGATCTTTTTTTTTTTTTTTTTTTGTGTAATTCTTAGAAAAATATTGGACATATATACTGGCGTCCGTTCCAAGAGGCCCTGGGAGCCGATAAAAAAATATTTTATTTAATTTCTGACACAATGTCATTTATTTTTTCCTTTGCTTTGAACTAATTTTTATATTATTATATACTATTTATATTATTATTAGATGCGGGACCTTGTTATAATTAATGACTAACTTCAGTTTCAACATTATTGAGAAAAGTCATTTAATTGATAATTATATTTCAAAATGCATAATGTCTGTACAGACAGTGAATAAGTTTATTCTAGAGTAAATGACTACAGTGTTGAAATATAGAACTCTGAATGAAGTTATAATAGATTTTCCCACTAAAAATATCATTAAAATTAATAATCAAATGTATCGAAATTCAAATTCAAATTGAGTTAGCTATTTGTCAACTGAAAGGCTCAAATAGTTTATTATTTCTTAAAGGCATTATTTTGTTGGTATATTTTTTAATAATTTAAAAAATCCCTTGATCGAGGCCTTTTTTAATATATTTATAAATAGGTCCTAGATAAATAATTTGTGCAAATATTTTGATCTATTATATTAAATGGAATATTGTATTCTACCAATAAAAACATGATTAAATTTCTTCCTCATATTAAACATATGATCTACTTATTTCTATATTATCTTGTTGTTCCTTTGCTTAACAATATATATTTTGCGAATTATTCTCACGAGCCAACTGGTCTTCATTTATAGCCGTTAGGTTAACCATAATAAATATCATAATATTTTATTAACTTTCAAAGAAAATATAAGACCTAATAAACATACTATATATTAGACCGGATAAACTATACTAGATTGATAATATATGTAAACGAAATGAAACAAACAAAAATGACTGAATAATGAAATATTTAAAAAATCTGATAATGTAGTAAAAAAATAGAAAATGTGCTATTATCAATAATATTATCACTAAGCGGATTTTTAGATAAAAATAAAATACTTTTTTTTCATTGGTTGAAATTTTTTTCTATAAATGACCTTTGACAAATAATTAAAAAAGAACACAATATGTCCTCTTTTTAAATTATAATTAATTTAGGGGTGCCAATGTAACACTTTTGTCACCCCCTTTTTGATTATGCCTACTTCATCATTCCACACTATGTAACAGTCTGCATTATTTATCTCTTAGTTCTTAGTCATTATTCTAACAATTTTATTTTACTTTATATCTATCTATTTTATTTTTCTTTTATTTAGATCTATTTTATCTAGATCTAATCTATTTTATTTTCTCATTTTTTATTATCTTTTTTACCATCATTACTTAAGTTTCTCATACCTTGTTATCTGGTTATTTTCTTAGCCCTGATGATGGCCTGAACTTCAGGTCGAAACGTCGGCATATGTAAAAAATAAATATTATAATTTATTTTTGCCTTCCTTTTTGACTGAGCACCCCAACTATTCTTCTCTTCATTATCCACGACAGTCAACCAATTACCAATTATAATTAATTTACTAATTCTACTAAGTGTATAAACGTGTCAAAAACAATATATAATTTTTTTTTTTTTAATTTCAAATTTAGCCCCCTATATTAAAATCCTTGATTCCCCATTTATTATATATATATTAATAAAATAACTATATTGGTTTTACCTTTCGTAATAAAAATATTTTAATTTGTTATTCAAGCTATATAAATTCATATAAACAAATTTTGATTGCATTATTCAATGTTTCTAAATTGAACAATATTCATTTCCATTCCTGTGTAATATTGAGGTGGTTTCGATATTTGTGCTAATTGCATTCCACTGATTGCTAATCAAATACAATTTGTTAAATTTCAAAATTCTTTCCTTACATTTCACATTGCTTTAATATTGTTTTACTGATTCCAGAAATGTTTAAATATCTATAGTAATGTATAATGTTTTAGAAATAAACGTTTTTTAAAAAAATGAATCATGTAGTTAATGATGAAAATAATACTCTAAAATTAGAAAATAATTATAATATGGTTACCGTTGAATATTTAAATATTTAATATTTTATCTTGAATATATATTTAGATGTTTGTTCGGTAAAAATTGATGATTTTGAACAAAATTTGATAAGATCTTGTTACTCAACTCATTTCCTTTTTTTTTTAGCGGGATTTTTATCGACAAATTATTTTACGTCATAATACAGTTTTATTATCGTCTATTTGATAACGTTATTTGTTATGTCCTTGTAAAATATTAGATCAAAACTTTTATTGCTTTCAAAGTGTTCACTTTCATTTTCGTATATCAGTTATTGGGTTGCTTAATTTTCCTTTCTAAATAAAAACATATCATTATTTTTTATTTTTTTATTTTATCGTATAATTTACAAAGCAAGTTGTGAGATGTTTGATTAATATCACTTATTTACTTAACAAAAGCAAGAAAACTGTTTTATTACTAGGAAAAAAAAAACTTTTTTTATATGGATATTCAATTTATTCAAAGTGACGGACACAACAAAGAAATCAATTTAAAAAATCAGATCGGATTTACTGGATTAACAACTCTCTCAATTTTCTTTTGGTTTGATAAATAATTGATAGAAATGCAGTATTTTAAACTATTTATTTTTATTATTATTTATGAAATTTACAAGTGTACCTTTAATATACATTCAGAAAATGTGGTACAGATAAATACATGACAAGGCTTATAGAAAATCTACCCATTGGTAGCTCTTTAATTATTTGAAACTGAAAAAAAAAATTGTTTTTAGGTAATATCGAATAAAAATTATGGTATACTATTAAATTTAACCAAAAATATGTTGTTTTTATTTTTTTATGGCGTACAGGTAACATATATGTTTTTAAGCAAGCATCATTTTTCTTTGTTTTTTTTCTCGAAATGAGAATTATGATAAACCTACTCTAGTCTTTTCTTTCTAAATATTGACAGTAATTGGTGATTCTATACAAAATCTCCAATTATAAATATTCTATATAAATTATGTTTCTATGATTTAACTAGTTAATAATATGCTATGGCATTCTATCTCAGATAATTAACAATGCGAAAACTGTAATGTAAAGATGATGGATTTTTTCATGGATTGGAAATTGAATTTTAACTTTTGTTACTAAAGCATTTTCTCTTGGAACTTATCGAGTAAATGATTTGCAGAACTTTTCTTTTTTAAAAAAAATGTCGATTTCGCCAAAAAGTCAATTTAGATTGACTTTTTTTTTATATGACTAGTTAGCTACTCAAACAAGCTACACATAAGACTCAAGTAATTCATTTTAATATAATTTGCAACTCTCAACTAACCTCAATTATTGGTTTTTTTATTACAATTTAAATTTTTATGTTAAAAATATTTTAATTTGTACAATTCTCATTATATATTCTTCTGGCATTAACTAGTTCACCTGCAAGGCAGTAAGAATGCTTAAGCCTTGAGCCATTTACATAGCCTGGAATGGTATCCTTAACCCATATTCTGTATCTTTAAAATGACAGCTTAGTTATTTATATAATTATTACTTCAACTTTAGATAAACCCTAAACGTATTTATTATTTAATTAAATTTATAATTATTACGATAGATCTTTTTTACATCAGTCAAAATATCTTATTTCTAAGGTGGTAGTTAGTGTCTCTCAGAAGTATTCCAGAAGTGGTTTAATCATAGAATTATACAATATTCTTGAGATTTTTTGTAATTTCAAAATATATAAGAAACCTCGATTTATAGACTAGTCTAATTTTCACTGATAAAAGCATACACACACATATATATAGTGGTCAATTTTTTTTCTTTTTTAAATTGTATTAAGAAACTCATTTTATTTTATTTTATTTTTATTTTTTTTTATTTTTTTACTATTTTTTTTTTTACCCCCATACCAGACTGAAACGACTAGAAACCGCCCGACGTTTTCGACTACTGCAGCACTTACTAGACAAACGATCTAAACTTTCAATCAATTATAAACGACTCGTATATATGACAATAATAAGACCTATTTGGACTTACGGAATTGAGCTTTGGGGCTCCACTAAACCATCGAATTCCTCTCGTATCCAATCCTTACAATCCAAAATCCTTTGTAAAATCCTCAACGCTCCTTACTTTGTCACAAATAAAATCATCCATAAAGACCTTAATG